ATAAAAATAATGCATTTTTGACTTGAAAGTGTCCCTAAATTCCTTGTTTCAACAATGAAAATATTCGAAATAAAAGTCAGTTTTTCAAATTGAATGTTTTTCTTTCACTTTTGACCCGTGATTTTAAAAGTGCATAGTTTTAAAACAAAAATTGTACAACTGTCAAAAATACCCCTTCATCGATGTTTTTACTGGCTGCACTGAAATCTCATTTGCCGCCTTTTCCGTTAGTCTGCACGGAGGAAAAATACTATCCAAAATTTGAGTTCTTTTTACTTAATATTGACTTCAGCCTCTCACTTGCACTCGTTCTTGTTGTCAAAAAAGGAACGAGAGATTCGACCCAACGATATAGTTCAGCCCAATAAGTTACTTTTGAGTAAATTGCATATTCTCAAATTTACGTGAATTAAACTTAATTTTGGGTAGAATATACTTAAGAGCAGGTAATTTTTTTGCTGGTGTTAAATGGAAACTACTATATGCGATTTACTCAAATTTGGGTTATTGGGCTGAACCCCAGAATTGAGGGAAAAGTACTTAATTTTGGGTAGTTTTTCATCTCCGTGTGGCTGCTGTGAATATGACATCCAGCTCAGAAGTAGCAACTCTAGTGATTCTTCCCATTCAGCATCTTTTCTTCAATGGATATTCCAGCATTATTTGCTGGATCTACGAAGTGATCCAAGGGCAATTGACATTCCAAATGGTAAGTTCGATATTTTCAATGTTATAGTCTCGGATTTTTAGATTCTTTTTTTCTAGCAGACTACGCAATTTGCCAGGACAACCTGTTGAAGTATCAAGCCCTTTGGAAGCGCTACGGTACCTCTGCCTTCATTGTAAAAGTTGGCCTCCTAGCAGCAGGAGCAATTTTTATATCTTTCGTTGCATAACGTTAAATTAATGTTGTAAACCAGAATAAAAATAAATAAATAAGTAAATAATTTTTGAGCATTTTTGCTTGAAATCCAAACGATTGTTTTGAATATAAAATGAAAAATTAAGTAATTTTGTTAAAAATCTTCCTTATCAATTTCAAAATATTGTGTTCTTCTATTCAAAATAGCACTTATTGTTTTAATAATATCTCATGTTCAATTCAAAAGTTTGTTTTGAAATAACACGAATCCGTTTTTATTTCCAACACTGCCAAACTTTTGATTTGACAGTAGTACAATTAATTTTGATAGTTTCAACTTTTAAAAGCAGTGAGCAGGCAACTTTTGATTTGACGGTTGGCTGATTTTCGTGTTGAAAGCTTACCGCTTTCTACCAAAAAGAACCAACGCAAACTTTTAATTCTACCAACGGATTTTTTAATTTTAGCAATGATTATTTTTTGTGTGTATTATTAATTATTCATTCCTGTTATAATTACCATAAGATAAACAATCCGTGAATAATGGGATGGTATGGCCAAAAAATATTTCAACCATATATAACAATAAACGGAGCATTCTAGATATGGTAATGATTCCCTGAATATGAAATATATAGTATTATGTAGTTTTTCTCAAGATTTATGTACCATATGATATGACAAATTTATTTTTTCGTTTATATATGACGGCTAGCTCCAACTCGGGTTAATACTGGCTCTGATTGAAGAATCGGTCAAATGTTTGCTGAAGATTGTATTATTTAAAATCGACGTCGATAACAAAACAGCTCGACATTTCTGATCGGGTTTTAATCCGAGGATAATACTGGTGCACAATTGAATGACAATAATAATTGTATTGGCATTATTAAAGTCAAATACATAAATGCCAGCAGAAAAGATAACGTATATAATTCATTCCGCAAAATATGTTGAATTACATATGTTATCTTTTTTTTTCTAGTGTGTGTACACTTTTCTAAAATATTATCACTATACATCTGCATTTCAGCGGTAACATTTGAAAACGGCACAAAAACTTTTGTAAACAAAAGTTGTAAGGCCCTTCACATGCGAACCGAACTACGCCCACGCAAACCAATACAACTATAGGAAAGAGGAAAATTTTCCCCATCCGATGATGTTGTTGGTTTACGTGTGCGTACTTGGGTTCGCGTGTTAAAGGCCTTACAACTTTTGTTTACAAAAGCTTTTGTGCCGTTATCAAATGTTACGCCTGATTTTATAATCCTCCCTTTGATTGCCTTGAATTCTGTTACAACTACTACCTTACATGAGTATCATCCCACTGTACATGGAGTATAACGGTTATGGTTGAAGTGCATGTCACATACACTATTACACAATTTTGTGTACAAATGTTTCAGTGTGTTAGTAACACATCAAAGAAATTTGGCATCACGGCTGACGACACGGTCTTATTTTTTCGACGCGTGAAGTGAAAAGTCGCGTTTCCATCGTCGTCGGCGTTCAGAAAAAAATTCAAAGATGAACCAAAAACCTCATCCGAAGCGAGGAACACAACTCAGAGCCAAGCAACCGCAGCGAGGTAAGCAATAATTTAATATTTTTAATCAATATAGTCTGTTTCATCGTAAAACAAAACGATGAAACAGTCGCCATTGGAATTCCTTTGGCCACGATTTTTGCGCGTTTTGCCTGCAGAAACAGACTGAAAATGTTTTTTTCATTTATAGAAAACCCACCTTCGAAACGCCCAAAACGGAGGCAGAATTTGGAGGTTAATACTGCCACCGAGCTGAATCGACAGGACATAAAGGATAAGGTTAGTGATTCACCTTTTTATTTTTTTATAAGGTTTGAAAATTATAATTAGGGTTAATGCATATAATTTTAGATAGAGCTGGAATTAGGGCGTAACAGCTCTCGATTATTTCTCGAAAGTCATGGTTGTTGCTGGAAAATCAACATCACCAACGAGTATGGGAAGAGTTCCCCTATCCGATGGATATGTTGGTTTGTATGGCCGTGTCTTAAGTTCCTATAAATCAACGAGAGAAGTCATTGTTTAGAAAGGTTGATACGCCTTAATTATAGCTCTATCTAGAATTATAGTCGTGGGTCCGATTGGAATATAAAACAAAATTATTTATTCACTTCAACTAATTCAAGTTGAACATTGCGTTAGGTCCTAAGTAATATTGACAGATTATATTTGTCGACTTTCTCTTTGCATCCCCACGGCCATGTAAATACTTTCCAAGCTATGTTCAGCAAACAGATCGATAAAACTTTCGATTTTACTCTTTTTCTGTACGTTATAAATAGTGTCGGAAGTATTGCACGATTATAGCGCACTATTCCTGACATTGTGTATAAGTACATATAAATGGAGAATAAAATCAACTGTCACTAGTATATTTTTCCGGTTTTCAACTGTACCGATATTTATTAAGTAACCCATACGTGCCAAACCTTTTCCGCCTAAAGAATCAATCTTGGCTCTAATTTCGTCATTATTAGACCAACTTTGATAAAAAAAACTTCCAATCGATCGGGAATTGTCTCTTGTTTTAGATTTTGTGATTGTTATGCTTCATTCTTGTTTGTTGTTTTTTTAATCGATTTGAAACCAAGAATTAAAAAACAATTAAATAAGGAAAAATAAGCTAAATCAATATAAATTAGAGGTAACAAGAGATGATTTCCATTCGATTGGATGCTGTTTAATCGAAGTCGGTCTATAAATGACGAAGCTGAAAAGGTTGGGTACGCATGTGTTAAGAAAGAATTGCTTGAATGGATCATCAGACTAATATAATTTTTTAATGTTTATCCACAGATAAAGTTGCTGAAAGAACCGCTATTCGGGTAGGCCCTGAGAATGCCGCTACAAATCGAACGGCCTCGGACGAAAGAACCATCAAACGCTTTATCGCGCAAAAGATCTCCAATTTGAAGAAAGTGTGCAGAAATTAATCTGCATTTAATTTAATTTTACTCATCTTACTTGGTTTTTTTTTAACGAGAATCTCGATGGTTTTTTAACTTGTTTTTGTTATATATTTTTTTTCTATGTTTATCATAAAAAACCGCACAAAAAGCAGAAAATAAAGCTAAAATCAATTTCAATAATGTTATTTTTTTTATTTTATTTGGGTTGAAAGATTGTTATAATTATTATTGATTACTTTCCGATAATTATAACGGGTATCGTCATGATTATAAATTCCTTATAATATTACTGTCCCAAAATTATACCCGTTATAGTTTTGTTATTATATATTATTATTCAATAGTAATAACGGATATAGCCACGGTACATACACATTTCTTATAATTTTACCAGTATGGAACGATATATGTTATAATATAACAGAAGAAAATAAGATTATACAACGATTGTTTCCTGAATACTTTCGCGAACATTTTGTTCGAAAAAAAGTGGTTTTTTGAATGGTAACTATACTTAACGACCTATTAAGGTAATGGTAACATCTTGTTTTATCATAACATTTATCATCGATATGATCCATTTTATCTTAGGTTTACAGTTACTGCAAGATAACATGTATCATCATATTATTTACTTGAATAATCATAAAATGATAAATGGTATAATAGCTTTATAATACATGTTTATTCGGGCAGGAGGTAACCTCTCCCTGTGGGTGCAAACTTGTTATGCATAATTTGCCATGAAAACATCTCCGATCCATGCCGAAATAATAACAATTAGTTTTCAAACACGTTTTCTTACACGATTCAAGCAAAAGTTTCCACGGGAAATTATTATTAGTTTTTCTTTATGGACCGATTTGCCCTAAAAATCGTCTGTTTTACTTGGAGAATTTGGAAACTATCCTCCTTCTAGTAGTTCTCACTTCGAAATGTAGGCGGCGAAAGCTTGGAAAAGTTTCACTGCAAGACGCCAATCTCTCGAGTATTTCTAGTGTTGAGCAGCCCTGTTCACTTCTAGCGACACCTGTTGCTGAAATCAGCCGTGCTGGCTTTATATTCTCATCTTTTGTCACTATCTTGTATTAAATTTTGTTAAATATCTGACATTTGGTTCGAATTAAGGAGTTTAGCTACACATCTTTAGTACTTTTTTATCATTCCATTCCCTGTCAGTCAATAACATAAAAATTTTGTGACTGGCTTTTTGAATGCATTCAGCAACAAAATTTTGATTTAACAGTGATCTACCTATTAATCTATTCAATTGTGTTAACTTGGTCAAAACATTTCTCTAGTTTCAAAGCTTTGTTAAGAGAAATAGTTTGTGAAGTCCTTTGTATAGAACAGCTGGCTGATTGAGCACAGATTAGAAGCAGACAAAACTAGCTAAGGACTAGTGACGGCCATTTTGTCAGTCACCGGCTGCACAACAGAATAAAAATCAAAAATTCAGAATCGAGAGAACAATACCAAAGTGTCTCGACCACTTCAATACACGGGTGCTTTCAGATAAAAGATTTGTGGACAGTAAATATTCAGACAATCTCGGATATATCGGTAAGTCCTTCTCCTTTGATTATCCATAATCGAATCTTATCTGTATAGATACGATAACATGACAAATTCCTAATATTTTATGTAGCTCAGTTAGTCATGCAATAATAATTATGTATTAATGAGGTCAATTAAAAAAATCGTGTTTAGGTAAAATTTATTAAACAAAAATTGAGGTGTCGATTTTTTCTCAACCCCGCCTTTATAATAAAGGGATATCAGGGACATGCATTAATGACGTAGCCTTTGAGGGGTAGATGGGGGGTTTGTCAAAAGTTGCGACCGTCTATGTATTAGGTATAGCTTTTCCTTGTTCTGAAAAAAGGGTATACCTACCAGGATTACGTTAGACTAATAAATAACAATCTTGATTTAACGGAGACGTAATTATTTTCGAACCAATGAATTATCATAATCGAAACAATTTCTCTGCTGTTGGAAGAAAGAAATATACCTATCTAAAGTATTGAAATGTGAGTACAAAATAAAGCGTTATTTTTCACAAATCACTAATAAACCTAATAAATGATCATGTTTTATTTTACCGGTAAACTTGCAGTGTAGCAGCAAAACTTCGCGTAAATACGCATTAAAATTTCTATTGAAAAACGACCAAACCAAACTCAACAACATATTCGTTAAGAGAAAGTCATCAGTGATACAGTGTTTTGTTTATAAATTTAAAATATATCGCAGCAGTCTGAAAGTGAAGGGCCACGCTCAATTATCGTCCTATCGATTCTCTCATTCGTCAATAACTTGGCTGCATAAATTTTCGGGCTAAATTTCTACACAGTTTGAAGAAACTATTATTAAGCGTATTGGATGATAACAGTTGAACATGTCTTTGGAGCCGAGTTTTTACCGAAATAAAGGGTTAAATGAAGAGAATCTTGGTCTATTAGAAGTTACGCGAGAATAATGTATGTTTTGCGTTAGCGTGGATTTGACAGTAACTGTTAATCCATGGATCATCATAATATACGTCAAGGGAATGCAAGAAGGATGCCAGATATACAGTTCCAGGTGAATTATAAGGAGATTTTTCGCGTAACTTTTAAAAAGTTCAAATGTAAACAAATCGAGTTACTCGATACAAACTATTGCTCTTCTATTATTGTATGTGATACAAAATACCCATCGAAATTTACTTACATTTATTCAAAATAATCAGGTCAAAAATTGTCCAATGTATAGTTTAAAATGTTGGGTATGTGATTGTTACTTCGTACATTTTGACTGCCTAACATTTTTTTTCTTGATTTTGTTTTCCGTGCTGAGCTCCAATGCTACCGACGCTAGGAAGGCAGCTTCCACACCTGGACCCTACCTATCGACCCATCAACTCATGAACCGGGGACCAACGGCTTTACTTCCGCGAACGGCCCCGAAGGAAGGCGTGATCAGAGATGTTATGCCTTAGAACATCCCGGCGGCGGGATTGAACCCAGGCCTGCTGTGGTGAGAGGTAATCACGCTTACCACTACACCATCGACGCCGCTGACTGCCTAACATGATTGGTGCTTATTTTCTAAAGGCGGCTCATGGAAAACCAATCTAAAGTTGCCCCGTAACGTGGATTGACTGAAACAAGGACCATAGTTTGGAATACTATTTTTCTGAAAACACTTATTTTTAATATAACCACGCTTATTACCGTTGAATCTACGACATGCAGAAAAATGGATTTTTGTTTCAGGGCCTAATGTATTTTGTTATTGATTCAAACATATTGTATCACTATTTCAACGAAACATATTTTTGAATCAACAAACAGATTATTGACTCTACAACCGGTTTGTTGATTCAAAAATATTTACTTTTAACTAACCGAATAATATATTTGAATCAATACCAAAAATATATTAGGCCCTGAGCCAAAAATATATCCATTTGAATTTAAAAATCATTTCTCTGTGTGTACACACTTAAATTTTTTCGCCGAGATTCCAACAGCTGAGTAGTTCTGCAATTAATTTAGCTGAGATTCGGTAAAACAATTGCCGAGACTCAGCTAACACATAAAATTTTGCATTTTAGTCACTTGAAGATGTCACCTCGGACGAACTAATATATCAAGCATAACATTTGATAACGGCACAAATCATTTGTAAACAAACTTTCTAAGGCCCTTTACACGCGAACCAAAGTACGCCCACGCAAACCAAAAACATAATCGGATAGGAGCAACTATCAACTTTCCGAAAGTGGTATTGGTTTGCGTGGGGGTACTTTGGTTCACGTGTAAAGGGCCTTAGAAAGTTTGTTTACAAATGCTTTTGTGCCGTTATCAAATGTTATGCCTGATATAATAAATATAGGTCAAAGTCAAAAACAACTTGAAACACGTTAAATTTTAGATTACATGCACAAGTACAGGTACTTAATAAAGCATTGATTAGGTAGATTAGAGATTTCAATTATTTATTAAATTATGCTAATGAGATATCATAATCATCAAACGAACTTAACTAAGAAAATTTAGACAGCCTAATAACATTAATTAAATAAACAAAAGAATCCTGATGAATGTGGGCGTCTTAGTGGAATACCTGTATAATGAGAGAGAGAAGGATTTGAAGGATCTCTCATTATAAACAAAAGAGTTAGAATGCAGGGGGTCCGCTTAAGGAGGCAACTAGCCTTTACAGCAACTGGCATTGTTGGCATCGAGACTTTCAAGTCATAAAAATTTCTTGAACAGTGATAACTTTTAATTAACTGATACGTCATTTTCCCCTTTCATGTAGGTAAGAAAAATAGTTCAAATCGAGAGCATTACTGGATTTCTTATATATGTTTTGGAAAAAGCAAGCAAATTGGTTACAGATATCTTCACTATCAGTGGTATCAAACTCTTCAAACTTCATGCGTGATGGGAATGTACATGACTTCATTTTTTCGTTCGCGAAGTTAAAGAACGTTTGGGATCAGATTTTATATTGCTCGCCCTCCCCTTGGCTAGTTTTTGCACCTTGTTGTTGGTCGGCGGGCTTAATTTCATGCTCTATAGTGGAGTGTTGGAGACGGTAGGTTTATTGCCAGCATTTCTGGCTCATGCCGCGATAGAATGGCGCCATGGACTAAGCTTCCCCTCTCCGATGAACCATTGCATGAGAAAACCAAAGATCTAGTCCAGCAGTGATAGTATCACACTTGTTATTCCTTTGTTTGAGAGCCACGTTGTAGTACGCTTACGTATAGGCACTGACGTTGTGTGCGATACTGGCGGGTTTTGCCGCAAATCACTCTTATTTTTTTTACGCAGATAGATTTATTTGGGTTTGCAAGGGAAATATACTATTGAAATATTTAAGAAAGTGTCCAACAGTGCTCCTTCTACTTGCGTGACAAGCTTTCATTGTTGTTTTCAATGAGGTATTACTCAGAGAACAATGTTAAACACCATTTTTGTACATGGTATTGTAACTAATCTTATACGTGCTTCATTTTGATTTGGGATAAGTGTTTGAACTATGGCTCGGGATTTCCACTGTGGCGTGCTTCTATTGTGACATACTCATACGTATTTTTGTGGTGCGACATAGTGGAAGCGTCTGAGCATAGTTGAAGCATATACCCTATAAAATTTAAAAATCAGCTAGGAAACTAACTTCAAAGTGAAGCATTTTAGTCACTTGAAGGTGTCAAGGTCACGTGAAGGTGCAAAAAAAAATTATATTGTTCTCTACTCTTGAATTGTAATTATCATATGCTGACGATATATCTGCCTCGAATGCTCTGCAAATATCAACGTATTTCTCTAAATTTTGTGAAGTTTTTAACTGTTTATACGACTTGGGCGCTTTTTGCTTCCTGTTTTTAATATTTTGGATTTCTTGTGTATACCGCACAGAATATTTGGTGCTGTTCACTATTCTCTTTAGTTTTTTAGGAACGAATACTTACATGATATTGTATAAGTTAGTATAAAATATGTCAACAGCCTTGTCCATGTCGTTTTCATCTTTTAAAAGGTTTTATCAATTTATGTTATTCAGTCTGCTGTGAAATTCAGGAACAATTGCATTAAAAAAATCATAAACTAAATCAAAATCAACAACCCTTGGGCGTGACCTATACGAGTCTGTGAACACTGTGTACATTATTTCCTATCACCGAAAAATCGAACTAACCATGTTTGACTATGTTCTCTATGGACGCTGTCTTGCTCGTGTAGAGCACATAAAGGATCTCGCCGTTACCTTGGACTGCAGACTCACTTTCAGAATCCACTAAAATGACATCATCTCCGGAGCTTATCGATAATTGGGTTTTATTTTCAAAATTGCCAACGAGTTCCGTGACCCGCTATACCTCAGGTCACTCTACTGCTCGCTTGTGCGATCCTTATTGGAGTCAAGTTTAGTTGTTTGGTGCCCTTTCCATGCTAGCTGGATCACTAGAATTCAATCCGTTCAACGCAAGTTTGTGAGATATGCTCTTCGTTTCCTCAACTGGCGTGACCCAACAAACTTGCCACCGTACGAGGAGCGTTGCCGTCTCCTGGGAATCGAACCATTAGAGGTGAGACGGACGGTCGCTCAAGCTATGTTCGCTGGAAAGCTGCTTACGGGTGACATTGACTGTCCAACACTGCTGGCTCAGCTAAATATGTATGCCCCTGAGAGGCCTCTTCGTCAACGTGACTTTCTGTTTTTGGAACCACGGCGCCGAAATTATACACAACACGAGCCAATTCGAGCAATCAGCCGGCAATTCAACAACTTCTTTTATATGTTCGACTTCAATCAGCTGACGTGTTTCGCCCTCCCCATGGACATGGAGGTTGACGGTACTGAAGCAAAGGGTTATGTTTAATTTCTTTATATTTGCAACGATGATGATTTCCCATATCACCTTCTTAATGCTTCAGTATACCTCAAACGATTAATTCTTGGTTGTTAATAGAACTTCCTTGATGCAATCGGCTGCTTCATGCAGACTGAGCAATTCTGATTATAGTATCAGATTTGTTCTGTATACAGAGGAACTGGGAGGG